GGCACTGCTGAGCGCATTAATCTAGCGCCACAGGCAGCAGTGTTTATTAGACGCACGATGTCGACGAGGAGATCGGAAGAGAACAAGAACAAATGTCTTGATTTCGCTCTATCAACGTTAAACAGCTGCAAGCGTTTGCAGTTTTCCATCTCGATCGCCTTTGTCTGTGTCACAGTGAAATACTAGAGCAAATACTCGTCAGTCTTAAAGCCTACTGCTTTTCTAGAACCTGATCGAAAAAGTTATTTGGCTCCGCTCGGTTCACAGAGGTAAGCTGGCAAGAAACGTACTCAAGTGGGAAAATATCATAAAATATCATGTAGTATCTAATATTTTTCAGTTCTCCGAGCTAATATAAAAATATTATGTTAGCTTTTGCAAAAATGAGTTACTATTAATATTTAATATCGAAAATAGTACTATTACTATCAAAAATATCATATGATATTTGGTTACCATTAGCCCCTGATCACATCGCCCCTGTCCCCATGTTCGACGTTTACGGGTAAGATTACTAGCAAATCTCATACTTACTTAAAGTAGTTTAAAAAACTAAAAATTACCCCAAGCTCACCCCGTTGAATATGAATGACCTGCCTCCATTAAATCCAAAGTGGTCCACCGGTGAGAGTTATTAATAGCATTTCGGTCGAGCAGCTCTACCTATTTGTACGCTGTCGCTCTTCCTATTGCCTCGTTATCGACCTCTCCTATAATTAGCTCGCGGAAGGACACATTAACGTGTACCTATCTGTTTTAAATAAGCGCTGCCATTGGTCATAATCGAAGTTCGCTTAGGACAAACCCTCGCTTATTATAGGACAGGGGCGCTGTTGTTGCACACGACCTTCGTGATCATTTAAGATGCAACATGTACTTTCCAAGCAGGTTGCAAACCTGGTCAAATACATAGAGCCTACGTTACCGCATCAAAGGGCACGGCTCATGCTGCTTCAAGAAATGAATCCCTCCAAAACATTTTTTATTCTAGGACAACTTAAATGATGTTAATACGGTACTGTGAATGCAGTAGTCGCTGTTTGGCTTTGTTTGTGCTTTTTTTTCTTCTCTGAATAAGGGGTACCCTAGAAGCGTTAGAACATGCGGTAACGTAGGTTCTATGTATTTGACCAGGTTTGCAACCTGCTTGAAAAGTGTGATGGGCAGAAATGCAAGTCGTGGGAAAAGTGGCTTTTTCCTGCAAATCGCCAAATGCCGTAGCCTAAAATTAAAAATGGTGTGTCTCCACACAGCCTTAAATTAGATCTCACAAGAACGGGCCATTTGCACGATAACTTAACCGGGAAATGGTGTACATACAGTACATGTACACCATTTCCCGGCCAAATTACTATAGTTACCAAGCAAGTTGCAAACGATAAGAGACAGGGATACTTCAAGTGAACATAAAAATTTTTTTTTTCAACTTTTGCAAAACGGATGGGTACACGTTTCAAGCAAAATGCAAATTCGAAGTCACGCGCCCAGCTCCATGTCGAAGCCCTTCTCGGCAGCGAAACAATGCCGCAGGCAGTGCCTTTCGTAGCGCCAGATGAGTCGGCGCGTAATAACATTCTTGCACGCTTCCACTGCGTCTTTCATCAGCTGTAACCTGTGCGCCGTAAAGGAGTCATACTCTCCACGCACCAGAAACTCGTGCTTTCGTTCCATCATGAAATGCCGCATCTTGGCCTTCAAGGAGTTCCAGCACCCTTCAATGGGGTTCAGCATTGGGCTATAGGGACCCAGGCGCAGAACCTCGAGCTTGTTTCAGGTTCATGATACCCGTCGCCAGCCAGGTACTCTCGAGCAAGGGTCTCGACGTCGCTGTGAGACGGCGCGTTGTCCGTGATAATCACAACCCTTGTCCGGTTGAAGCTCCGCGTACTCTTCGGATCGAAGAGCAGCGATGAAGAGGTCTGCCATGAACCTGGCATTCTCAGCCTTCTTCACGGGACCCTTCATGGGTTCTTAGCAGAACCAGACCAGAGCCACTTGAAACTCCTCCTTGGATGTGAAGGTTCTTGCCTTTGGATGGCGGCAACTGGACAAAAGCACGTTCTCCAACTCGAGCCAGCCCTCATTCCGAGGACGAAGCCGAGTCCGAGAGCACGCACGATGCTCCTGCGGGTCTGCGGAGGGGCACAGCCCAGTGCCTAGTGAGCACAAGGACGACAGCGTGCAGTCGCTCGCTAGTGATCAAGGTGATCACAGTCCCAGGACGTCTGTGCGCTCTGAGAGTCCGGCCGTCAAGGCTAAGGGCACTCCCAAAGCTGCTAGCGATGAGTAAGAGAAACCTCGCAAACGTCTCTCGCTTGCCGAGGGTCTTGCGTGTGCTAAGGCCTCTAAAGCCGAAGGCGCCAAGCCCTTTAAGAAGCGTACGGCTTCGAAGTCTCCACTCCGCGAGGAGAAGGAGACACGGCACTCCCATCGGGGTCTCTTCTACTCCTCGGATGAAGAGGAGGAGAAGGAGGGAGAAGAGGAAAAGGAGGGTGCTATCTCTGATCTCTGGGAGGTCACGAATGATCTCGACTAGCAGCAGGAGGATCTCCAAGCTGTCCAACAAGTGCGTGGGGGTTCGGTGGTGGCACCCTTCAGCCAGGGAGCTGCCATCAACTTAAGAGGGTATTGGCCTCCTGAGGAGAGCTCTGGAGCTGACCTCTCCCTAGAGCTTCTCGTCTCTCCTCATGGCCTTGTGGGCGGCCATACTTCTAGGGGCATTTATGAACGTGCTCTTGTTCAGAAGGAGCAGTTGTTCGCTGACAACTTGGAGGCTGCTCGGTGTGTGCTTCTCGCGCCACGCCGCATCCCTCTTAAGGACTTCACGACTTGTCGTAAGAAGCCCGAGACCCGGGGTGTCTTTGGGGAAACTCCTGGGTTATGCTCGAGAACTGTCCCACCTAAAATTCTTGTTAGGACATGTTCTGGGCGTGGGTAGAGTCT